TACAACAAACCTCCCCCCCGTCTCTGCCTCTCCTCTCTGGGAAGCATCCTGCTGACACTCTCTCCAAGGAGTCTTATTGATATTCTTCGAGAGGCATTGCAGAGAGAGAGGAAGGGAGGAATGAAAGTCACACACTGTAGCAGGCAGCAGATGCGCTGCCTTCCAGTACCAACGACGGCAAACGTCACCAGTCACCCAGCAGGGATGTGTCAGCGCTCTGCGTCGGCTGCACTAATTGCACCTCTCACGCTTTGTGTGCATGTTATCCGGATTATTACGGAGAGGCAATTTGCCATTCATGTATTTGTTTACAGTTAATCCTCTTTAACATGGAGACGTATGGCGTGAAGAGTAATCACTCATGATGCGAACAGGACATTTGTTTCAGTGCAGCCACGTGTTTGGCGACGTGTGGCTCGTCAGAGGATTTATGCAGGGTGTGACTGTTGAATCCTGGAGGTGGAAAATGTTTGCCTCATTTTTATGCGCATTGTTTTCCACTAATCCTCACATTTGGCCGAGTCATTGTCGTTTTTTTTGTTTGCTGTGCGATCAGTTTACACAATCAGACGAAAATAAGTTTATTAGCCGATTAGTGAGCCAACAAAAACGACCTGGATTTGTTTTAGCTGAACACAAAGCAGCCGCTGCCGCCTGCACCAGTCTTTCAGAATCAGCTCGCTTTCAGTATATTTAATGAAGTCATGCAGAATTTTTACCTTCACGCTTTACAAGCACAGGGGTCAAAGGTTATGATGCATGTTTAATCAGCTGTTTCTCAGGTGGTTTGATGGGAGCTAAATTTAGCTGTTTTTGTTTGTTTTACGTCCCAGAAAAGTCAAAGTTTGACACTTGACCTTTATCTTTATCAGACTATAGCAGTCTTACAATCCAAGATATTATTATATTCCAAAAAGATTTTAGCTTCAGTTTTTCTTGAGACAGAATGATTTATCTTATTTTAGATTTAAAGTATTAAAGTTTAAACTAAAAGTAAAAAGGACCCAACGTTTGGTGCTTTTTGTTTTGGACACTTTTCAGTAGCAGAATGTGCTGAGGTTTCAGTCTCGATCCCTACAAGCTGAGCTTGATTTGTACATCTGCACTGAAACGTTGCCTCAGGCTGATCCTACGTCAGTGGCAAACGCTGGTGGCGCCGTTTACTCTCGTGCGTGAAGATGGGATTTCCGCCTTTGAGTCGCTCCATCCTCTCCTGACCATTCAAAAAAACGTCTGCAGGAGAAACCCAGTCAGTCGCTCGGGTGTAGTTATGTGAGGGTTTGTGGTTGGGTTATGGCTAGGGCAGCCACAAACGATTATTTTGATAGTCGACTAGTCACCGATTATTTTTGCGATTAGTCGACTAATCAGATCATCATCCATTGAACGTAAAACGTACAGCTTATTGCACCAGCAGCATCTGCTCTTATATAACTATCATTAGCTTACAGCTTTAAGTGTTTCAGGTATGTGCTAACTAAAAATAAAGACAAGATGATAGTTTATTAAATTTTAATGAAATTTGTAGATTGTTTCGGGGGAGTTTAATAAACTCACCGGAGTAAATTCTGGAGCATCTCACACTTCTGATAATCAGCTGTCTGCTTGATGTTTATTCAGCTGTGTAAAAACTATAACTTTAATCTCAGCCAAAC